TCCCTATCTCGTCTATGTCCCTGCTTTTTCCCGTTGGAAGCCGTGGGCTGTTTTACTTTGAGCGTGCTCAGGTGCCCTCTTTATTGGTCCCTTGCCATCAGGGGGGCCCAGTATGAACTGTATATAATTATCTGGTTTCCCGCTTAACCCCCATTCCTGACACAGAGTGTGTCGAACGATGATCTAAGTACCTCTCTCAATAAACTGAACTTCCTTGAAGGACTGTTGTTGAGCTTGATTGACTTGGGACTCTGACAGTCGGGGCCAGCTATTGGGAACCATGCGACCCCAGTAATACAGCAATTACACTGGCTACCAATCTGTTCCAGAGCCCAAGTCAAGTTGTTGCTTTTGACCTTTAAAGCTCTACATGGCTTGGGAGTGGGGTATCTGAAGAGCTGTCTTTTCCCCTCTGTCCCTGCCTGGGAATTGAGATCACAGGGAGAGATGCTCCTGACTCTCCACCGATCCATGAAGCTCGCTTGGTGGGTACACGAGAAAGGGCCCTTTCAGTGGCAGCCCAAGGGAGGCGCACCTGGCTCCCACCCTTTCAATCTTTAGGCAGCAGCTGAAGACAGTTTTATGTAGGATTGCATTTGATTAAAGCAGTCCTAAGCTGTGATTTTAAAAATTTGGGTTTTACGTACTTTATTTCGTGTACTGTATATATGTTATAAGCCTCTCTAAGGGAAAAAGTAGGCTGATAAATGTTTTAAATAAATAAAGTATGTGCGTTGGTAGCTTAGCAGCTGCTTCCCCAAAGGGCTGTGTGGAAGAGCAAGCACACAGCCTTGGGAGTTAACTGCTGGAGGGTGCCGACCCTTTTTTGCTTGTCTAAGCCCTTTAAAATGCAGTTGCCATAGCACTGGTGTGTTTCCTCAGTCGGCGAAAGCCTGTTACAGTGTTTTGGTAACTGCAGTTGTGGCAAACTCTTTGTTCCTCTGACATTATAAGAATTAAGGCTAAGAGCATACAGATACAGCTACCATAAATACTGTGTCATGTGGCAGAAAACATAGCTTGTGCTTTGTGTGGTAAGGGTTTTACACCACTCCTGGAGGCCATTGCTGTTTTTCCCAGGCATGTGACTGTTTTCATGCCTGCACTGGCAATTCCACACAGGAGAAGAGGCTAAACAGATGAAAGAGGAAGTCTCTGTGTGAAAGTCTCTCAGGAAACCGGAAACCTCCTCAGGAAACAACCCATATACAAAAGAACCTCCTCAGGAAAGCTCCTCTATTAGCATGTCACGGCCTGGGGAACTCCTACAAGATAATGACTCAGCCCTACCCCACCTTCCTGAGTAGATATAAATTACCTGCCTACCGTTTTCTTCTCACTTTGACACAGAGAGTACTCAATTTTTCTGTGTTATCCCTCGAGCCAGTCACAGTTACTGGCGAAACGTCAGGTTCTACAATGCCAAGACCACGGCCACACAACCCGGAAAATCTGCAGCAACTAGTGAACTCCGGCCGTGAAAGCCTTCGACAGCATATCTCTGTGTGAAAGTTGTTACTTCTTATTCTGGATACCAGACATGCGCTTCTAAATCTTCCAGTTCTCTGGTAGCCAAGTCACCTGTCCCTTCTCCTGTTTGTTCTTTCCCT